AAAAAACAAAAATATTATAATGGTCCTTGTTCAAAAAAATATTGGTAATCACTGGTCTACACGAACAACCAAACAACCAGTTGATAGCGAAGATGTTGCAATATAACACAACGAAGGCACCCATTGGACTCATTGAGAAAACCACTTAAATCAAGCAGATTTAATAATTAGACAAATAATAATATATGGATACAAAAGATCGGCTTTTAGTTATATTTGTTTCAGTTGAAAAATGAATTCATCTTTTATCCGTAATCACTCAAAAGTCAATAAAGGATCACTATATACGTATCAATCACTATCTTTGAAATAATTACTTTTATCAGGAACCTTTAATTAAAATTGTATTATTTACTGCTTAATTATTTCAATTCATCTCATATCCTGTTGAAAAATATTACAAAATAATATTTATTAAAGAAATAAAATTTAAATCGCAATTTTCTGAATTTTAATGAAGCAAATATTGTATTTACACAAGGACGCAATTTCGCTTATAGTCACGAAATCATGTACCAATTTCAGTTTTGCTGGCACTTTATTAAATTGCGTTTTGCAGGACATTAAATATCGCATATTTTGCGAAATTTTGAAAATAATTTTATTGTCAAACAAAACTATGCAATTAGACAGAATATAACTGTAACTAACTGGTATGCAAAGAATGCAGCGAATGAATTCATATTACAAATAAAGCCCAATTAGTAACAAATTATATTAAAATGCATAATTTAGCAAACAAATAAACAAACATGTTTGCTCCCCGGGCGAGTGCAGTTATTGACGAACACTAATAGACACATATAGCCCATGGCCCCACCAGCCCAACAATGCATGCAATGAAACTGTGAGTACAAAACGTTCGACGGTTCCAACGATACGGCAGCATTAGGAGTTGAAATGGCAACACTACAGCTCTGACAGGAGCAAATTAAACATGAAATATTTAACTAAAAATAATAAATATTAAAAAAACAAAATTATGTATTAGAAGGCCTAAGTATATCCGGATATATTTGCATATGTGACCGCATGTGTTTTGTGCAATAATCAAATGCATGCAGAATTTCGAATAGATCAGAAGTACCAAAATTCCAGAAATCCTAACATTTTTAGCAAAAACCCAATTGTTTTGTGTAATTGAAAATTGCTGTCATTGTTCAAATACATGCGTGTGCGTGTGTATGTTTGAGTGTGTGAGTGTAGGTGAAGTAGGGAATGATTGTTCGATTGTGTCTATTTGTGTAGGCTCGTTTTCGTTGTATTTGCGGATACGGAAATTTGTTTATTTTATTATTGTTCAGCTATAATTTGTTGCTATTTGTTTTCGTTTGCAAATAAAGTTAATTACAGAACTAAACTTTTCAAAGGATTATGTGAGGATATGTGTATATCCCCCTCCAGCACGTTGCGTCACTGACGGATGCATATTTCAATAATATGTATTATGAGATATGGAATAATTGGGAGATATATTAAATTTAACCTAGCCGATATTAAGAGTGAAAACAAATCAATTTAGAGTTACGTTAATGGAATCAGATTTAATTTAATTTTATTTAATATATAAGTAAATAACAATATTGATAATATTTTAAATTAATGTAATAAAATACCAAATTGATGTAGTATTAACACTCTGAGATTCAATCTAAATATTACTTAATGGTGTGATTATATTAATTGGTTCCGAGTCAGCTGAAGTTAGGAACAATACTCTATTTCACCTTGTTAGTCACTGAGATGCAGTGTCCACAGTGGATGATGGATTCGCTAACAATTCAATAAAACACAGTAAAACACTTATAAAATATCCTCAACTACAACTGGAGCACTTTAGCAAAGAAACAGCTATTTCGAGCATAACTTTATCATCATTCCTAAGACTATGCTCTACCAACACGAACCAACCTAAATGAAAAGAAAGTTAAGACGACACGATGAATGGTATTGTTGCGTCCAGGACTTTTATTCCAAGGCCAGTTTGTAAGTGGAAAAAGTCTACTGTTTTTGGTTTTAGTGTCTTGGGATGCAAAAGATATTAGATTAGCTATCTAGGTAGAATATCTACAAATTAGGAAGCTGAACCTATTAAGTAATGTTTGAAGTCAATAACTGATTTAACGGACTTTAGTCTGATTCTAATACTTTCCTATCTATTAATTTACAAAATAATAAATTTAGTCTATTATTAAAGCCTTGTAGACCGATTTAATGCAAAAATTTACGAAAACAAAATAATTCACACTGTTCAAAGAACCAATATTCAAATTAGTGTATTAATTGCCTATTCTATGATGGTCTACGATTTAAATCGGTCTGACTTCTGCCTATTCTCATACCCTAAAAACCTTGCAGATGGAAAATAATATTCATCAAAATAAGAGGCAATAGTTGGTAAAGTAGAATATTTTACAACCTTTTCCGAAAACCGCGGCAAATATGTGATCAAACAACTAAAACATAATACTTACAACATAACAACATACAACATTAATGACAATAGACTGAAGCTGAAGCAGGTTACAAAGAAAAATAGCGACCATTACATCTAAACCTGTGTTTCTCAATTTCTGTCTTGAAAACATATTTTGCAACCCAGTACTTGCACTTATATTTATTAAAAGCTAAATTTTATTATCTATTCCAAAATTCCTTCAAATTAGTTAATAATTGATATCTAGTGTCCAACAATATGGTTAAGTTCGAATATTATTCAATTCAGTGGTATTTAGATCAAGAACATGTAGCTTTAAACAATTATATTTTATATATCAAAGTCAGTCACAAAAGATGAGTCCATTGGATATTGCCTTATGTACTATATTTACTTCGTTTAAAAAAAATACAAACACAAAAGCATCTCAACGCCACAATATAGTACTTTTTTATATATCTTCTCAATGCTGTGGATAATTTGAACGTATTATTAGCTCTGAGTTAGATCTTTCTTTCACCACGACCCATAATTTTTGTTCATTAAATTTCTTCGGCTTATTAGGTCCATTACAAAATTTTTAATTTTGAACTGTTGAAAACTGCTCAAAATATTGGCTATACTAACAGATGACAAAAAGTATCTCAATAAAATATTCAGTAATTGAAAGGAAAATCATTACTGCTTGTAGGTCGGGAACAGTATTATAGTTACGAAGAGATAACTTTCATTTACCCAATTTGAGTAATTTTCCATTGTTGTCAAAATTTTAAGTTAAACATTTTTTTTAAATGAATTCGAACATTTTCCTATTGGTCTTCAAGCTGACGTATGTCATGTATATCACAGCGCAGGTATTTCTAACTGCGTCTACTACCAGTATTTTCACAGAAACTCTATTGAATTCTAGTGAAAAGTATGTTAAAGACTCATTAAATATCAAGCTATTTGATTTGCTCCTCCTCCTGCTAGATTATTCCAATTCGGATATATTAGAGTTTAGCTGGTCTTTGGGCCAACAGGTCTCTTCTATTCTTTATAAATATATTATAGGTACTTTTGGTGAGTAGGTGAATAAGTGTCTTAATGAATGCTTTTTACATACCACTAGTTACGTTTAGTTAAATTTACGTTTCGTTAAATTAAGTTAGGCTATAACAATGTTCCAAAGAATCTCTTTATATCCTTTGTAACCTTTTAAAAGTTAGAGTTCTCTACAAATCCAAGGCTTTTAATAAAGCTTAAGATACTCTTTAAGGACCTATTCTACATTTAGATCTGTAAAACAATGTAGAGTTCATTTGAAACAGTTTGTATACATAGTCATGCTAAAGAGTGAGCATTGAAATGTGACGTTCTATGAAACTGCTAATCTTTTACTAATATTTTATAATAAAAACAAGGTCCACGATAAAAAGAGGTGCCATGGTGGTATTCGCACATCTAAATGTAATAGCCAAATCGCAACGAGACGGTAAAACGTAAGTGCAGACAATTGTATGTAACAATTGAAAGTATATTACTGATATGAAAACCTTTTTTCTATTGACCTATTGTAATCCGTTTCAAAACGTAGAGTTTTCTAAAAATTCGAGACTTTAATTAAAAATTAACATAATTTATAAAGGATTAGATAGATTAGATTTTATATATGGATGTGTAAAAGAAGGTGGGGTTCATGTGACCTAATGTTTATAAATCCAAATATGCTTTTTTTGGACAGATTCTGTACATAGTCGTGGTTTTATTTAGTAATTGAAACCATATTACCAATTGC